ATATCATAATACTACCTGCTTCATCTCATCTTTTATTTTAGATGAATAGGAAGAAACCAACCCATGAAAACTGTGATTGTTGCCCTGGCCAGGAGGCTTAGTGGGTTGGAGTGTCATCCTGTACACCCAAAGGTTGCGGGTCGGTTCCCAGTCAGGGCACATACGTAGGTTGTGCGTTTACCCCTCAATCGGGGCATGTACGGGAGGCAGCTGATCAGTGTTTCTCTCTCACTCCCTCTCCCCCCCTCCTTTCCTCTCCCTCTCTCCCTCCCTCTCTTGCTGTCTCTTCAAAAAGCAATAAAAACATATCCTCAGGTGAGGATTAAAAAAATTGTGATTGGATTTTTTTTTAAAACTTAGGGAGGAAATTGCACAGGTCATTCCATTAACAACATATCTCTTGGTTTTAGTTGTAATATTTTAATTACATGATCAATATATTGACAGTGATTTATTAAAAACTAAAACATAAGACATATACCCAGTAAAGAGTTAGTCTCTCTTTCTGTCCCCCCACTATTCCCTAATCTTCTCCTTTCTTCCCCAGAGATCATCATAGTTAACAGTTTGATATGTGCCTTTCCAAAACTTTATATATATATGTATATATGTGTGTGTGTGTGTGTGTGTGTATGTGTGTGTATATATATACACATATATATATAGATGTATGCACACACACACATAAATTATATATACTTGTATATAAACATGCATAGGCAAATAGATTGGGGTTTGTTAAATAATTTATCTAAACCAAAGGTGATAACAAAGCTTGTACTTGAGAGATTTTGAGTCATGATTTTCTTTCTTGTAGAAAGTCATTCTTTAAGGCTTATAAAAAGGTGCTCTTCAAGGCTGTTTGTTTCTTTTACCCAGTTTCTTACCTCAAGCCATTATAACAAAATACCATAGACTAGAGTGGCTGAAATACATAAATTTATTTTCTCACAGTTCCGGATCCTGAAGTCTGAGATCAAGTGCTAGTGTGGTCAGGTTCTGTTGAAGGCACACAAACTTATTACTAAAATTCTGCAGCACACAAAAAACATTTTTTGCACATCTGACAAAAAGTAGATATAATTTTGATTCGTTCACACTGGACAGCTATTGTTGTGTTGACTGTTGTCATTTTTTATTTGACCATCTAAGGAAAAAGAGGTCAGTGCCCCTGACTAAATAGTCAGGCATTGCATGTTTTAAAGATTCTTGTGGCGCACCAGTTAAAAATCATTGTCCTTGTAGGCAGTTCCATCATTCTTACACTTTCATATTTTTCCTTTTATTAGCATAGATTGAAATGATTGATGAGTATTGATGATGTAATTCCTAAGTTGTTTAAATTGCAAAATGTCTTAAGAGATAGAAAATAATAAGATCACTAAGATCCCATAGTATATCTTACATTCATGAAAGGTCCACTGGAGTCATGTGTTAATTGCAAGGTAGAAAGAGTTTTATTCTACTTTAAAATATATATGAACAATTTTTTTCTTTGGAAAGATGAAACTTCTAAAATGGAAATTCAAAAAATAAATTGGGTCCAATAGACCCTGCTGATATACTGAGTGTTACTGAGTGGAAGCCAGATCACATAGTTTAGAATATAGCTAGGAATGCAGTAAATATGAAAGTCGTGTCAGGTGCGTACTGTGGAAGTTTAGAAGAATGGTTTTCATTAACCCATCCAGTGACTGTGAAGCCCCCATATGTGCCAGGCATTGTTCTGAGAATTGAGGATTAAACGGCCTATTCGCGTGGTTGTTCTGTGAGAGGACCCAGACAGTAAACATGGGCCAGTGCAAACTTGTCTAACGCTGAGGGCCTAAGGCAGACGGGCTGGGCGAGGAGACGGGAAGGCCCTGCGCGGCCCAGGCCGGGAGGCGCATGCTTTCCTCTCCGGCGGCCCGGCCGAGAGGCGGGCCAGGGCGCGCACGCGGCTGCCGTTTGCCCCGGCGCTGAGTGAAATGAGGCGGAGAGCCGTCCGGGAGGAGCGGGACATGACAGACGAAACTGCGCTCATATTTCCTGTCCTAAAACAGACCTTCCACCTCCTTGAGGGAAACTGCCCTGCAGTGTCAGCATTCCCAGAAGGCAAATACCATCCGCCCCTGTTGTCTCCGTCAGCTGAGTGTCCTGAGATGGGCCACAGCACAAGAAATTCGAGCATGAGCTCTGCAAAAGCCCTTTCTCTGCTATCCCAGCCCTGAATCCTTTCAATCTGCAGGCACAAAAAACGCATTAATTGTTACTGAACTAACTTCCTTTTAGTCCAGGTTTTACACAGCAGTGCCACTGCAGCTCGCAGTCTCACTTTTCACATCTGTAAACTGGGAACAATACCCAACTTGCAAAGCTATTGTAAAAAGCAAAGCAAATATATTTCAAATGCCTGGCCCATATTACTTAGATAAACAGGAGCTATTACCCACCGTTATGGTTAGTCCATTTTATAGGGGCAGAAAACTTTTCCCTTCTTTCTTTCTAGGCTCTTTGGCTGTCCTAATAATTACATCGATATAAGACAGATTAACAGGAGGAAAAAGAATTTAATTTTGTGTGGGTGCGCCATAAAAAACATCATGAGACTCAAAGAAGTGTCCCAAGCCGGCACCTTTTATACCCTTTAGATAAGGAAACAATAAATCTGTGAAGAATTGACAGGACAAAGGGGTTTGGGCTTGCGGGAGCAAATTGGTGAAGAAATAGGCAGGTTTGTTTATACAGCTTTCTTGGCCCTGAATTCCCTGTCTCTGGTGATAGGGATGCCAGCTCCCCTCCTGGTACAAGGAGAGACTCGTTTCCTGCTTTCAGGGGGAGGAAGGAGGGTCAGTGTGTTCTTCCTGCACCAGCTGTTTCTTAAGTAACTTAAACTCAAAAAGTGGCATATTTTGGGTAGCACATTGGTCTCCATCAGTTTATATCTGTCTTAAGATGTGGTAACCAAGTATAAATGTTCCCACAGATTCTTCGATACCTTAGCTTCAGTCTTATGAAAATTGCTCCATAAGACACACAACAATTTCGTTTCCATAAATGAGTAAGCATCCCTACGGGTTGCCTCCCCTCTGCCTGACTTAGCCTCTTGCTCCCTCTGGAGTGCAGTGGTGGGAGGTCGAGCTGTTGAGTGGGTAGGCCTCTCAGAGGCAGGTTAGGGGCATCAGTGGAAATATGCATGAAGACATGGTGTGAAGTCAGCTGCACGAAGCCAAAGAATATTTTATGTCCACTTTCAGCCATTCTCTAAACCTTCTAGTTGCGTTCACAAATGTGAACATATTAGATTTCAAGTGCATGAGACACTGGCTGGGAGCAGCCCCTCAGGAGTCTGCCAAAAGGGCTTTCAACAATGGACATCCATCCTGAGCCCCTGGAACAGTGGGGTGGCACTCTAGTCGGTGTCCCTTGCCCCTGAGGGGAGATCCCACGTTCTTGTCTCAGTCTGTATAACTCAGCCTTGGCCCCGAGGTTCCTGGGAGAGTTTCAGAGCCGCATCTCATGAGTCTGATATATTATTCCAGAGCTGGTCAGACCCATTTCCTGACCTGCTGTCATTGAGCACTTAAGATTTTGTTTTCTCTGAAATATATTTCTAAAAAAGAATGTTAAGGATTTGGATACTATGTCGTCTTCCAAACTCAACAGTCAGTTTTTTCATCTTAATGGCTTTTGCTCATTTTAAAACGCAGTGAAGAAGGGAGCTGGTGGTGGGAAATAACTATTCTGATTGAAAAGTGTTTTTAAGTGTTCTATAAAACACTATCAACAAAACAGGACAGACACCAAGATATTGAGTCACTGGATTTTGAAATGCCCATGGTAGATAAATACTAAAAACCACAAAATGCTTAAAGCATAAATAAAAGAAGTAATGCTAAGGAGGAGGAATGAGTGGAGGAGGGAGGAAGGGAAGGAAGCAGGGGAAGGGAAAAGAGGAAGGGAAGAGTAGAATGAAGGAAGGAAAGAGAAAGGAATGGCAGAGGTTAGAAAAGGAACCAGGGAAGTAACAAGGGAGAAAGGAGAGGGAGGGAGGCAGGGAGAGGCATCAAGTGTCTCTGGATCTATAGAATGAACACAACACCACTGAGACAAGATAAGCCTGGAGGGAGAGGCAGGGAGCAAATTTGAGACTTTAATTGTTGAGTTGGCCTCCTCCCAGGCGATGTCCCTGGTACTCTGGTAGGAAATAAACAGCTTCTTCAAGATTCCTCAGCTGCCTTACTCCCTGTACATGGCAGGGATGCGGCCTAAAAGGGAGTGATATTCTTATTCTGGTGGTGGTGTGCTTCAGCACATGCACCACAGTGCGAATCTCCGCCTGCAAATACACATACAGGGTAAGGTCTTTCATTTCAGCCATTCTTCCTTTCTAACAAGAACAATCTCAGCCAGAGCGTTTTTTCCTGACTTTACAGCTGAGTCTGGGGAAGTGGCTTGTCAGAGCCCAGAGGTGGGAAACAGTGCAGGGCTCAGCCTCCTTCCACAGCTTGGACAGCAGAACCACTCCCTCAGCCCCTAGAGAATGCATCTCTTTGCCCACCCCCTCCACCCCCTCTATTTTCTCAGTGTGAGGAATGCCTAATGAAAATTTAAGGGCATTCCATTACCAGTGCTGAGTCTACCACTAATCAACAAGCTGTGTGACTTTGAGCGAGCTGCTTAACCTCCCTGAGCCTGTTTCCTCATATGTAAAATGGTGATAATAATGCCTACCTCCCAGGTTGTTGTGGGAATTATAAGTACAGATGTATGTAAAGTGCCTGGCACAAGTAGGTGCTCAATAAAAGGTAGCTATTATAATACTGTTCCTTGTTTTCTTGCTTATAAACGACAAGGATTTTTCCAGGCCCCAGATCCCAGCCCAACTGACTGCCTCTGGACCTGCATGTGACATCCTTTTCCCAAACCTCTGCGCATAGCACCCACTGAGGTCTGAGCTTGTATTTCAAAGGACACTGTAATCCAGGAGAAAGGCAAAAGAAGAGATATATGTAGGTAGGATGTTGGGAGACAGAATTCCAGAGTCCCCAGAAGATGANCAGAGTGCTAAGGATTCTGATGGCAAGACTGCCTTTGCTGAAAAAATCCTTGAGTTCAGGATGAGGCCTCGCCACAGTGACACAGAGTCTGTACCTTCAGGAACAGACTGGGAAAGGGCCTCCCATTAGATGCCCTGGCTTTGTGCTGAGCTCCAGCTAAGGCAGTTAGAGCTGAGTGGAAGTCCCAGCCAGTGTCGTGGCGGCCAAAACCTAGGTGCGCCCTTCAGGGCTCTCCCGTCTCCCAAGTATCCTCCGCGGCAGGCGCGCATGGTGACCCAATGTACCAGTGCTGGGAGTGGCATGTCACATGGGCAGGTAGAAGAGGGAGCAGGTGCAGGACAGCACCCGGGTTAGGAAACACTGCTTCTAGGGAAGGATGAGCGTGGCGTGAAGGGGGATGATCTCAGGTCCGGCTGATGTGATGAGGTGGGTGGAGGCCAGCTTGCTCTGAACGATGACTCCTCAGTTAGATAGACCCATTTCTGGTGCTCTTGGTTCTTTTTTGTGGAATCATTTCTTTTGGGCATGAAGACCATCTGTAGCATACTTGGTAAGTGCAGTTCTGCTAGAAACAAATCCTTTCACTTACGCATATGTGAAAATATCCTTATTTCACCCTCATTTTTAAAGGATACCCTGCTCCCTTCCCATGAAAGACCCCCAGCCACCCATGATTTTCTTTCTATCACGTAGATAAGTTTCTATTTTTCTAGAATTTCATGTAAATGGAAACATAATATGTGCATCAGTAGTTCATTCCTTTCCATTGCCGAGTAGTGTTTCATTGTATGGCTGTACAATTTGTTTATCCATTCACCTGTTGATGGGCACTTGGGAGGTTTCCATTTTTAGCTATTACAAATAAAGCTGCCATGAATATTTGTGTACAAGTCTTTGCATGGTTAGGTGCTTTATTTTCTCTTGGGTAAACACCCAGAAGTGGCATACTGGGTCGTATTTGAATGTTGTTTTCACTAAACTGCTAAACTGTTTTCCAGTGTGGTTGGTTGTTTCAAGTGTACAGCATAATGATTTGATATTTTTATATATTGCAAAATGACCACCACAGTAACTCTAGTTACATACATAGTTACAAATATTGTTTCTTGTGATAAGAACTTTTAAGATCTACTCTTAGCAGCTTTCAAATATACCATACAGTATTACCTATAGTCACCCTACTATACATCTCCATGACTTATTTATTTTATAACTGGACGTTTGCACCTCTAGGCCACCTTCACCCGTTATGCCCACCACCCCCCACCCCAAGCCCGGCATCTGGCAACCACCAGCCTGTTCTCTGCACCTGCGCTTGTTTTTTTGTCTTATTTTTTGGTTTCATATATAAGTAAGATGATACAGTATTTGTCTTTCTCTGTCTGATTTATTTATTCACTTAGCGTAATGCCCTCGAGGTCCACTCATGTTGTCAAAATGGCAAGATTCCCTTCTTTTTTATGGCTGAATGATATTTCCTCCCTCTGGGTTCTTATGGCACATCCCTGTAAACCTCTCTCGCCACATTTAAGACACTAGGTAATTATTGGTTTACTTCTCTACTCTCCTGTGTGAAGCTAAGGGCCCGCCTCACTTCGCTTTGTATTTCAGCCTCTAACGTGGTGCTGGCAGAAAGGAGCGTTTAGACAGCTGGTCGTGAATCTGTACATTAATGGCTGAAAAACAGATGCCCCTTCTCACTTACTCTCCTCATTCTCTGCTCCCTCTTCATGTCCCCCCCCTCACTCACTTTTATTCCTTCATTTCTTCCACTATGACTGCATTTTTGCAAGATTGTAGAAAGAACAGAATCTTTGTGACCTTTAATTAGAGTGTTCTTAGATCTACAGATGTTGGAAAATGGATTTTGAACCTTAGCAAACAAACTGAAAAAGTTTAAACACTTGTGGGTGGGTGTGGCAGTGAAAGAGAGATTTCATTGGTATTTGTTATGAAGGTGGGTACATCAGTGAGGTTAACGTATTTTGCTCAGGAACAAGAGATCTAGACAGATCTGCCCTATTCTAAGAGCAGCAAAAGTCAGTCTGACACATTGACCCCTCGTTCTGCGGGCTGACGCTCTAACCACTGAGCCAAGCCGGCTAGGGCAACCTTAAGATTCTTAACAGAATTCCTCCAGTCCCAATCTGAATCTGATTAAAGTGGCAGTAATTAATCTGATGTACCCTAGTGACACTGTTTGCTGTAATATTAAATAGCTGTTAATGTGTGAAAAAGTTTTGAAAACAAACAAATATAAAGGTAATGGAAAAAAATAGCTGTAACACTTAATTTCCTTATTTGAAAAGGAAGTCCCCTTGAAAGCTTTACATTCTGCTGCGTGAAATACAATTCAGCTGAATTTTCATTTAATAATTACATTATATTCTATAGGTTTAGACTTCCCTGTTGCTTGCACACAACTTGTTAACTGCAACAATAGAAGTTATTTATGGAAACGCTTATACCACTAAGCATTGCAAAGGGAAATGGAATTAAGGCCAATAGCCCTTCCACGTTTAAATGTACCAAGCCTGTTTTCAGAACTCCTCTTGCCTAAGGAAATGAAAGAGGAATTGTTTGCTTCCAAATCTTCAGAAGCCTGTGAGAAATGAGGCCACATTTACTGGTTCACATTCCTGAAATTTTTGTAGTCAAACATCCTTGAACCCAGGACCGTTGAATATTCTGCCAACTGCATGTTGTTATAATGATTTGTTTTGAGAGTTTCCAAAAAACCCACTTGAATAATTTTTTTCTTTATCGTTTCAGGAGCTTCTAAAGGCTTTTGATGATGAAATCAATGCATTTTTGGACAATATGTTTGGACCTCGAGGTGAGTGAGCTACTCAAGAACTTAATGTACAAGGAACACAGTGTTTTGTTATAGAAGAGGCTTATTCCTCCATGTCTTGAAAATAATGTGGTACTTAATGTTTAGAGCAGGGGTGGGGAACCTTTGTTCTGCCAAGGACCATTTGATATTTATAACGTCATTTGTGGGCCATACAAAATTATTGCGTTAAAAAATAGCTATGAAAAGAGCTCCTAGATTTATTGAACTTCCAGCCCTGCCTGCAGTTGCCTTGACAGGCCAGACCAAATGATTTTGGGGGCATACAGCCTGTGGGCCAGATGTTCCCCACCCGATATAGAGACTTAACCTCTGTCACCTCTGACATGCTTCTCCCAGAACTTCCCGGAGGCCTCGCTCCTCCTGAGATTAAAGTACTGGGAGCAGGAGGCAGGACTGGAATGCAGCGCAATACTTTCCTTTGGTGTCTCTCTGGCTACCAAAGTTACCAAAAACTGGCTACCAAAGTAAGTTGTAGCCTTCCTTCTAAACGCATGCTACTCCTCTCCTCACTCCCCGCCCACTCACCTCCCACCCTCCTCCCATGCAGTCATATGTAGTCTTTCCGCCCTTACATGTGTGGGCTTCCTCTGCCCAGGTCCATTAGGTTGAGCGTCTACGCTCAGTCATTTCGAGTCTCAGTCGTTCCTCCATCCTTGGTCACTTACACGACTGCAGCGTGCCGGTTGACATATATTTAAAGACTCCTTCCTCTCAACTCAGCACTGAGGGGTTGTAAGTTATCCTAACTAGTCTCCCCTCTTCCAATCACTTAGTAAATATCAGCTGGGATGATACTTTAAAAGCCTAAGTCATAGTAAGTGGTCCTCTAGCGTAATATTCATAGTGCCCTTCAGACAAAAACCAACTTTCTTATATGGACTACCTCCCCTTGTTTCATCTAGCCCCAGCTCTCCCCACACTCAGTGCTCCTCTCCCACTCACGCCCACCTCTGATGTCTTTACTTCCTCCAATATATAAATGTCTTCCATATGCCCTTCCTTGACCCTAGAATTCCTCCGCACTGTGTCCTAATCCACCCTCCAAGATAGTGGGCCCCTTCGGCTATCGCACTGCAGGCATCAGCTTAAATGTTATCTTTCTCCCTAAGAGAGATGCCAGGGGACTTTCCCCTCGAAAGCAGGCCCCTCATTATACTCTAGCTCAGGCTCTGTTTACTTCCTTCATATACTTTACTGTTATTAATGGCTCTTTCCCCCATGAGCACAGGAACCGTGACTCCTCTCCAGTGCTCATGAGTTCCAGGAACATATAAGGCACTATATCTTTTCCAACTGAATGAATAAATTCCAAGCAGCATGTGAGCCTCGCTGGATCACAAAGCTGTGAAAAATCTACAGATTATTTCCTCAGCACTATTGGGGCATGTGTCGGGGGGTATGTGATGAGGAGGTTTTTCTGTTTCTTAAAATCTTTAAAAAGAATCACTTAGAGATTATTTAGACCACTCTCCAGTTTCTATTCTTTTTTTTTAATATATCTTTATTGATTTCAGAGAGAGGAAAGGAGAGGGAGAGAAAGAGATAGGAACATCAATGATCAGAGAGTCATTGATTGGCTGCCTCCTGCACGCCCCCAACTGGGGATCGAGCCCACAACCAGGGCATGTGCCCTGACCGGGAATCGAACCCCGATCGCCTGGATCCTAGGCCGATGCTCAACTGCTGAGCCACGCCCAGCCAGGCTCACAGTTTTGATACCTGTGATTGTATAGAACTTTTTAAAAAATACTTTCACATAGTCTTGATTGTGTTTTGTTTTCCCATTTTGTCCTTGTGATGACCTGGTGGGATAGGCAGGGTTGGATACCGGTATCCTGCGCCCACCTTAGTTTCTGTGTCTCTGCCTTACAGCTGCAGTGGGTAGTGTGGAGGGCATGAGCTTGACTTAGGCGTAATGCGGGGTTTCTTGGTGGCCGTGGCTTTCTTTTGGACACTTCCCCTAGAGAGTTAAGTAACAGTCTCTCTGAGCCAACTTCACACTGAACTTTGCCATCGGTAAGGTCATCGTGATCTGGAATGATGTGGATATGGGTTCAGTTAAGGATAGGATTACAGTTGTTTACTCAGCTTTGGTCATTTTCATGTGTTTCCTTTGTAGCAAAGAGACTGTAAGGTTGGCATTCGACGACTGGATCAGTTGACTTCCACAATGGCATCTAGGCCATCGCCAATCTTTGTCCCCTTTCTAAAAGTGACACAAGCTTATGTTTACTAGCAGCCACCTGGTAAGCTGCTAGATGTCCCCAGGCCTTCTCTCATTTTACCTACAGCATTTAGTACCATCAAGGAATGTTGTTCTGGCAAATACCTGAGTCAGATGCAAAGCTAACACTTCTCAAGTCCCAAAGATAGTAATGTTCTTACAGTGATTTGCTCCCATCTTCTGGTTGGATCAGTTATGGTCCTCTGTAACAGCTGTGGCAAATATTTATAGGACCATGACATAAGAAAGCAAAAACTTCAGGTGCTGTATTCATTTTGCAATATGTGCTTGACTCAGTGTCCCAATTAGTATATATTTAATAACTGTTTCCTCTCATCTCAGCACTACATGAGCATAAGTTATAAATGAGACAGAATAGAAATATAACACCTAGTCTCTGTCTCATGGAGTATATACTGTAGTTGAGAAGGTACAAGTAGCACATCTGAGACATTGGAAAGGCATCGAGTAAACCATGGGTATTAGTGTCCCACAGCTGCAGTAACAAAGTACCACAAACCACATGGCTTAGCACACAGCAGCCTATTGTCTCACAGTTTTGGATGCTACCGATTTGAAATCAAGATGTTGGCACGGCTGTGCTCCCTCCAAGGTTCTAGGGGAGAATCTGTCCCATGCCTCTCTCCTAACTTCTGGGGGTTGCCAGCAATCCTTGGCCTTCCTTGGCTTGTAGATGCATCACTCCAATCTCTGCTCCATCTTCACAGAGTGTCCTCTCTGTGTTCCTGAATCCAAACCTCCTCTTATAAAGACACCAGTCACCTGGTCGGGACCCACCCCCATCCAGTGTGACCTCTTCTTAACTTGATTACGTCTGCAAAAACCCTGATTTCCAAATAAGCTCACAATCACAGACACGAGGAGTTAGGACTTGAACATATCTTTGTGGGGGACACAGTTCAACCCATAGCATCATAACAGGAGGTGGGGTAGCAGTTTAGCGCAGTTATTTAAGTTTTTACCCTCTGTAACTCAATCTTTCTCAGATATAAACTGGGGATAACCGTAGTATGTCTGTTACCCTGACTGTGACGACAGCACCACAGGTGTTTGCATGTCCAAACTCATCAGCGTGTACCCATTAAATACGTGCAGGAGTCTGGGTATCAATTATATCTCATGACGCTATTAAAAATACCACCTATATGCGAAGATTGCTTTGAGAACTAAGTAAGTTAATGCATGTAAAAGGCTTTACAACAGTGTGTGACGCAGAATTAGTGCTCAGTAAATGTAGCCGGAGTCACATAGGTTATGAGACGGTCACTGTTTTTTGCTGCGGAGGAGCTGTAGTTAGAAGGAGCAGCGGGAAGCGGCCCCCTTCGGAAGGCAGGACCTGAAGGGACCAGCCGAGTCCCACGTGGAGGTACCCATAGGGGGGCACGGAGCCCGCCTTCGGGACGTAGCGGCGAGCTGGTCTGAAAGGCAGCCGGTCACCTCAGTGGTCCTTTCTTCCCTGTTCTGTCCTTCTTGCAGATGGGAGACGTGGACAGGATAAGTGATGGGCAGAGCTCGAAAGGACACTTTCCGTAGAAGCGGCTCTGGAGGGTGGGCGGTTTGAGGACAGGCTGGGGGACGGTGGGGTGGAGCAGAAAGAGTCGGAGGCTGGGAGCGCCGCGGAGGCCTAGAAAAGGGCGTTTCCGCGGGAGAAAGCAGCTCCTTCCAGCTCTTTACAGGACATTTTATAATTCTGAGCTCACTCATTTTCTTTATTTAAACAACAAAATAGAGAACAAGAATCATTTTATGCCTACAGTTATTTTCAGGCGCTGCTCATTCTATTATAGATCTATTATGTGTGTTTTATTTGGGTTTTTAAATTTTCACTCTCCAGAGCGAGGGACACTTGAGGTATCTAGGTTCTTTTCTCTGGCTGTTTGTACTGAGGACTTGTACCCAGAGTTGGGTCCTTGGTCTTGTTTTCTGCTCTCGGTCCTGAAGCACCGGCGCCGAGGCTCTGCCTTCACTGTCTCCGCTCTCACGCTTGCCACTCTGAAACCTCCTTGCTCTCTTTGGACCAGCTGAACTCTGAACCCACTCTTGGTTTGCTGCACAGTGATCCCAGGCAAGTTCTGGGTTTTAGGAAACAGGGTACAGTATCAGTACCCTTTCTCTCCTGCCTCCTGGAAACTTCTCCCTGGCGGCAGCAGCAAGGTAGGCCGGGCTGGCGGCGGGTGTGAATTCAAATCCCGACCCTGCTGCCCACTGTTGTACGGCCTTCGGCAAGTTACTCAAGCTTTCTGGGCTGTTTATTTATCTGTAAAATGGCATAACATACTTCACATTTACTGAGTTAGCGTAAACAAACAGCAGCTATTCCAAAGCAGACATTCTAGGACTGATTCTTCCCGCCTTCGTCAGCTGCCTGTCATTCAGCATTCGACCGACGCCGTCTGCTCATGAAAACTTCCTTCACCGTCCCAGCCCCAACTGGTTTCTTCTTCCGAACGGTGGCCCAATGCAGTGTCGTCGTGTCTCCTATTGTATTTAGCATGTGCAACTGACACGTATGTGCCAACACCTCGTGACTGAACGGAGCGTTTCCTTCAGGATTCTTTCTCACCGGCTCTGTTTCTTTTCAGATTCTCGAGTCAGAGGATGGTTCATGCTGGACTCTTACCTCCCTACCTTTTCTCTTACTGTCATGTATCTGCTTTCAATATGGCTGGGTAACAAGTACATGAAGAACAGACCTGCTCTCTCCCTCAGGAGTATCCTCACCTTGTATAACCTCGGGATCACACTTCTCTCCATGTACATGCTGGTGGAGGTAAGTGCCGGTGCCGCCCGCCTGGCGCCCACCGTTGGGAGGCTTTCAGGAGCCGCCGCACCCGGCACCCAGAGCGACCCAAGGTGGCCCTCAGCGCTGTTCTTTACCATCTCGAGACCCTGTTCCAGCTTTCCATAGTGTTCCTTCCGAGAGCCCCAGAGGCCTGTTTCCAACCTGAATTTTTCTTTTCCAGATTTAGGCCTATTTCTTTAGTCCTTGGTCTCGTTGCAATTTAAAATCAGTTAGATGTGATTGGGCGTTTAAAGATCATATGTAATCATTTTCTCCTTTTACAGATTATGATGCTGAGGCTTAGATAAGTTACATGATTGGCCAGAGAATAGACGGCTGTTGAGCAACAGAGCACTTTCAGAATCAAATAGCAAATGCAGTTAGTCTGGCTGAAATACAAACACACCCCCCTGGGCCGCTGACGGTGGGCCAGCCGCTTCTCAGCGCTGACTTCGGGAGGCCTGAGCCGACACTGCGGCTCAGCTCTAGCTCCCCCCTCCTTACAGCGCGTGCTCCCCCGGCCTTTGTAAAGTGCCAAACCCACGTATTTGACAAGAAAAAAAATAATCATCCTGCCTATACAATCTCAGACCTGACAGAGGGGGCGGGGAAGGAGGAGAGGGAGGGAGGTAAACATAAAATCTTTTTTAGGGAAAAGTTAGGATAAAATCATTCGTATTAATTATAAATGGCTATTGATGGCACAAGTATAGCTGCCTTCCTGGTGCCCTTGAACTCTAAAAAAGTAAATAATTGCTCACCTAAAAAACAGGTTGTCTCACCTGTAGAGTTTAATCTGTGCATTAGTCTGAAATTCACCATTCTAATAACGGTAAACAACCGTTACCTAAAAGAACTAATAAAATTCTAATCATGGAGTTTGGGGCATCCGTCAGAGTGCAGGAGATGGGTGGGGTTTGGGGTCAGGAAAGCCATGCGGACAGGTCTAAATCATACACATAGGTGCTCGCTGATTTACCTGACCCTGAAAGGGGAAGTTTTATTTTAGGTTCTCTACTAGGTGAATTTTGGTTCACTGATGAGCTTGCGAGATAGTAATTTATGGGGTTGGTTTCCCTGTATAACAAAGGGAAAGACACTCGTCATTGGATTGTTGTCAGAGGTAGCAGCTGTATCAGGAGATCCAGCCCCAACCCTGCTGGAAGCTTTGGTGTGGTGGAGTCAGGAGGTCCAAATTCATGTGTCGTCTGTCACTTTCTCTGTGATTTAGAGGAGGTACTCAGGCTCTCTGACCTTAGGCAGGTCATCTTTGAGACTGCGATATGGTATTTGTCCAACTGAACTCGTGAGTGAGATGTTGGGGTTGATCAGTTCGGTTCAGCCAACATGCAGTGAGCACTTGGGAGGTGCTGCCAAGTGGATACAGAGACGGAGCGGGTTCTGCACTCAGATGCTCACAGACAAGCACAAGCAGGAGTCAGTACGTGCGAAAAGGCTTCATACATCTTAAAGTGAGTATTAGTCACATCAGCAGAAACAGGAACAACAGGGTAGTGTTTGAACAACCAAGTAAGTGGTGCCTGTCTTTTAGGGAGAACTCTGCACGGAGCTCACTTCCTACTATGAATTCTGTCCAGTTTCTCTTCTCACACTTTCATATCTCTTGGTTCAGAATCACTGCTACCCATTGCCTCCTCCGACTGTAACCTCTTTCAGGGCAGGCATAGGTCTTTTCTTTGACACTTTTGGGGTACATTCTATAGACACCAGTCAAATGATAATTTGAGTTAACCTTACTGACTTGTTATGCCCTGGTCAGATATTTGCTTAGTCCAGGAAATTATTGCTAAAATTATTAACTCTTTCAACAAATATGTATTGAGTTCCTTCACTATGTCAGATTCTGTTCTAGATTCTAGAACACAGCCTTTACCCTAGTGCAGTGATTTTCAACCACTCTGCCACAAGAGCTTTCAAAGCGTGCAATATCTGACTGTTTAATCAGGGGCACTGTTCTCTCTTCCTTTAGATTGTCAAGTATAAAAATGACAACAGCCAACACAATAGCCATCCGGTGCGGATGAATCAAAATTACACCTATTTTTTTTGGCAGATCGGCAAAAAATATATTTTTGGTGAGCGGCAGAATTTTAGCAATTAGTTTATGTGCCATGAGATGAAAAAGGTTGAAAATCGCTGCCCTAGTGCATTGAAGGGTGATGGCTGGTGGTGGGGCAGGAACGCCTCTGGAAGGAGGTGATATTTGAGCTGAGACTGAATGATGAAAGTAAGCCAGGCATCTAAAGATCTGGGGCGAGTGTGTTCATGAAGGAGGAACAGCGAGTGTCACGTTCTGAGGCAGTAACAAGCTTGGGTGTTCAAGGCCCATATAGAGAAACGACGTGGCAAGGACACGGGGGACAGGAGAGGATTCAAGGGGAAGTGGGATGCGGCAGATCAAGTAGGGCCTCGTAAGGCATTCCGCTTATTATTCTGAGTATAATGGAAAACCCCTGGAGGATTTTAATGAGGGGAGCGATGGGATCTCCCTTTTAAAACAGATTATTCTTGCCGCTACACGAGAATGGACTATGCGAGTGAGTTGCGGGACAAGAGCAGAAGCAGAGTGCAGTTAGAATATGGTTGTGGTACAGCAGTCATCGGATGCTAGCGGCCTGGATTGGGCGGGGGAGATGGGGGAAGCCAGTGGATGCTGGACGCACTTTGGAGCAGCCGCCTCAGGGCTAAGCCTGTACCTTCAGCGCAGAGGTTGGGTGGCTCCCGCGCACCAACCCAGCCGGGGCATTAGGAATGGTTCGGGTGAAGCAGAGAGAACCTCCTGCAGGTTGGCTGCCTAATTCTGCTGTTTAGTTGTTAAGTTGTTGTCAGGTGGCACAGGGGTGAGGGTGACCTGGATAAATCCGACTGAAGCAGGAGATGCCCTGGGGTAACAGAGTATGGCCTGTCCTCTCCCACTGCCGTATTGTTAGGATACAGTGAAGAGACTTAGAGCCCCTGACTGCAGAGCTGCAGCCTGACCATAGAGGTTTATAATTAACCTTCCTGCACAATGTTAAACAGCTTTCTTATTTGAAAAATGCACCAGCACACAAATATTTACGTATACTTCTAGGAATTTTAGACCCCCTGTAGCCTGTCACTGGTTCCCCCTTGAGCACCAGGAGCATAAAGCCCAGGGGCCTCAGGGGATCACTGACTTGTAATAAATAGATCCCAGCAGGAAATCCAGCCTCTTTACTCTCGCTGGACCCACTTATCCTGGTAATCCGTGATTACGGTGGTGCTAACTGAAAGGCAATTAGGTTAGAAGAAAAGAGGTAAGTCAGGGTAGTGGAGTAAAGGCAAGGATTCTGAAATGTTCTAAATGTGTTTAGTGGCTCACCTCCCCTGTTCAGTTCCTTAGCGTCCCTCCCGCTCTGTGCGTGCAGTTTAGCAGCTCTGGCCTCTGCACGCTTCTGATAGGCAGCCGAGAGTGGGCGTTAGCATATAATTCCTTATGCAAATCACAGCCAAATGCCTCCCATTCTAGAATTTTACCTTTCTTCAGTAATAGTGGGAAGGAAAGGAGAAAACCTCTTTTGTAGAATTTTCCACAAAGAATAAAAAGGTGTTTTGTGTGTGGAAAGAACACTAGATAAGGGCCTGAAAGGCCTGAGTTCCGACCACTGTTCCTCTGCTTTCTAGCCATGTAATCTTGAAGAAATCACTTACTTAGTATTTACTGAGTACTTTTTATGTGCTAGGCATTGAGCAGGGAACTATAGATACAAAGATGAATGAAAAAGGCATGGATTTCATGGAGCAATTCGTGTTTACAGACATTAACATAGACATTAATATAGACATTAATCGGTTATAGTCACACGGACGCTTGATTGCCACGCAGCGTAGAACGAAGCAGTGGCATAAGAGCCTTTCTGAGCCCAGTTTTCATATCTGCTAAATGATACCAAATACGTACTTCATAAAATCATTGAGATGATCAAATAAGGTAAATATTTATGTATAAGCCAATATAGAGTACTATTAAAATTTTAGTGTCGTTTCCTCATGTTTGTTTACATTTAATTCTACATTTTGCTTGTGGAAATATACAACCATGTAATTCCTTACACAAAATATTTTGTTACTCAAATGATAGCTAAATTCTCTTTCTTTTTAGATTTAATTTAAAAAGAAAAAAATGCTAGAAGTAAATTACATTACCTAAGGACTCTCACCGCCGATATCATTTCAGAGCAAGAATTAAACGCTTTGATAATAAGTGTTTGAGGACAGGATCGAAGCAAAGTCAAATTCTGGGAAGTTTCTACTCAAGTCTCGAACAGATGCCAGTTAGAAACATGAATGGGGACTTGTTTTTATCCAAATTCTTGTGTTGACCCCTCCGCCTGTTTCGTTGGCAGCTCATTCTGTCCAGTTGGGAAGGAGGCTACAACCTGCAGTGTCAGGACCTTGCCAGTGCCGGGGAGGCCGATGTCCGGGTGAGTCAGAAGCCACTGGGCCACCTGTAACCGTCGCTCACTGAGCGGGAGGGAAGGCTTTCTCCTTGTGGGTGTGGGGCTGGGGCCGGGCTAGATCAGAAAGGAACTCCGATAGAGTTCTGATAGAAATGCCTGAGAACAAAAATGCTTCCCAAATGCCCACCTGTGGGACACTGAACGAACCGTGGTGCGTCCCTGGGATGGTCCCTTTCAGCATGAGCAAGGAGGTCTCTGTACTGTCACAGAATCGCCTCAGATACGGCTGAGCGAGAAGACGCAACCTGGGTAACCCTGTGTGCATACTGTACCTCTGTGCGAGAAAGGATGTGAACATGTGTGTGCATGCTGACGCTTCTAAAAAGAAACAACGGCAGAATAAGCCAAAAGCAAAGAGGTTTCCTCCGGGGCAGGGAACAGGGCAGAGGGGACAGGATAGAAGCTAGACCCCTCTGAATGTGCACTGTATTGCATTTGGCTTTGGAGTGTTTTGCATAATTATAAAACAAAATTAAATCTAAAAAGAAAGCAGGGCAGCTTCCCCCAGAAAACTTGGAAATAAACTAAAATAAATGAATATACCTATATATTAAGTTGGTGACATAACCACCCAAAGAAGAATAATTTCAAGTAACATTAAAATCCAGTGTTTTGATGACATCACTAATAAGATATATCTTAACTTGCTGACCGGCTATTTCAGCCAGAACTTGCCCATGTGGCCAGCCGCTTTGGTCAGCAAGGTGTTTAAAATTACTTAAATTGCTCAGCCAGGCCTGGCTCAGCAGCTGAGCATCGACCTGTGGATCCAGAGGTTCGATTCCCGGTCAGGGAACATGCCCGGGTTGCGGGCTAGGTGGCCGATCAATGACTCTCTCATCATTGATGTTTCTATCTCTCTCCCCCCCTCCTTTCCTCTCTCTGAAATCAATAAAGATATGTGTTTTTTAAATTTTTTTAATAAAATAAAATTACTTAAATTAATGTAAGTGGAGACACAAGTTATCTCATGACTGGTCAGTGATGTCCGGACACAGAAACACGTGTATACTTGTGACAGGTCAGCAAGGTGTTAACAGTATTCAGTAATTTTTTTGGTTGCTATTAATAAAAATATCGGTATTGCTTTTCTGAAACTTATAAGTACACTGTAGGATAAAGTGAGTATACAGTGATGTTAATACCATTACAACTAACATTTGAACATAAAACAGGTATCAATAAAAAAGTTAAATGAAATGCCATAATCATAGATTCAAATTAGAAATATCAGAACCAGCTTTATTCTTTCTAAAACAAACCTGTTTTTAGCTCTCTGTATAGAAAAGGCCTAGTCAGTCTGTGACAACCAGTACAATGAGCAGTGAATCCTCAGATTGTGTTCTCTAAATACTATAATTTTCCACCAGAAGGGATAGGTTCTTAGAGAATCTGGCAATTTTTGGTATCTGGAAAGAATCCAGGACCTCTCTGTGACAGAGAGCAAGGGAAATACCCAAGATTGCTAAAGTCTTGACAAAAGATCTAGGAGCCTCCTGGAAAAGACTCCCACTGCTGAATATGGGACAGTTTGAGTATTAATATTTTTGAAGGTTTATTGTTACCTGAAATGTTAAGATGGAAGCCACCACACCTTCTTGAGAAGTAAACTGAGAGCATGTATTCTAATTTCAGAGTTCCTGTTATAGTGTCTCCTCTGTGTTTACATGCCAGTGCTGAGGGACTCGGAGGGAAGGGGAGTGGTGATCAGTGAGGTAGAAAAGCATCTTGATTTTGAATCTTTTCTTCTGAGGAAGAGACATGAAAGAAGTAGTAGACTGCTCTTGAGTGGTATAGTTTTAAGAGACAAAACATGTACATTAGATAAAAAGTGAAATAGCTTAACCAACAGTAGTGATCTGTTGAGTGCGAGGCCCTGGGCAAAGGGGAGGCAGTCTCTGTCTTCAAGTGATTGCCAATCTGTTGGAAAAGATAGACTCATAACACTGACTACACCCTATTGTGGTTATTAAAATAGAGGCATAAAGTAATTTAGGAATATAAATGAAGAAGCAGTTGCTTCAGCCTGAGAAAGGAGAGGCAGAGTTCCAGAGAAGGTGGTTTTAAGGAGTATGCATTGATTGTAGGTGCAGAGGAGTAGTTGGACCAGACATGTATTTTGGAAAGATGATACCAGAGTAGGTTGGATCGCTGGGAATGAGGGAAATGGGAGGCAGAGACCCAGGCGGATGCTTTTTTGTTAGCCTGACAAATGCACGCTGGTGGAGCACAGGACACTGAATGCTAGAGGGAGGGAGGGCATCACAGGCACGTTTCCATTGCTCACCTTTTATTTTTCCCACTTTAAAATGTTTACAGGTAGCCAAGGTGTTGTGGTGGTACTACTTCTCCAAATTAATAGAGTTCCTGGACACGATTTTCTTTGTTTTGCGGAAAAAAACCAGCCAGATTACTTTCCTTCACGTATATCATCATGCCTCTATGTTTAACATCTGGTGGTGTGTTTTGAACTGGATACCTTGTGGGCAAAGTAAGTGACTTTTCTTAACTTCTCAGTTCTATGTAATGGATCTTGCAAGACCTCTAGCACGTCTCTTGTGTTGACAAGGGGCCATGGCATAGCAGCTGTGTCGCATGGGGATGCGTGTGTTTGTCAGTGGCTCTTCATTTCTGGTCTCTGATGCTGGCAAAGTCTGAGTATTACCTTACGTTTTAAAAATATTTTCTTTTCAGTGCACCAAATATCCAATGGCCAGAAGCACATATCCTGGCTGGAGCAGTTCTACCCCAGTACCTGGGGCTGAAGAACTAAGTATAGCACCTTCCACAGTCACCACTTGCCGTGGTACAGATTGAGTCATTTCAACTTGTAGGGGTTGTTTTCCACTCCGAAAAACTGAAGCCGCATTGCCGACCCACCAGAGCATTGGCTCGTTTTCTTTACTAAGAACTACAATATAATATGTTTCACATCACACCCATTCATTCATATGTACATATTTTGAATGAAACAAAAATTTCATGAGACAGTCTTTAACCTGGCTCCATTAATTTTTTTAAAATTCTATTTCACTTTTTCAAAAAGCTGATGGCAGTCACACTGCGTTGATTTACTAAAGGGTTCATCATGACTCACAATTGGAGAAACCCTGAGCTAGAGAAAAGTACTTTCTATTTGATATTGTCTTATACCTAAAGAATATTCTATGAAAAGTCAAAACAGATAAAACTTAGAATGATCTTGTCCTTGGATTTAAGATTTTGTAGAGATGAGATTTTTTAAACACCAGATTTGGACTACACCTGGCTGCGAAGATGCAAACTCACCACAGTGTGAAGAAGGGTGTTGCTGGGGTGCAGTGGGCAGAGGGTGCTGGGCACGCCTTTCCCAGCCTGTCAGGATCTGGTTTCCTGAGTTTAGTGATTAAGACCCTAATAGACTTACACTGTAGTCAATATATAGACCATAGTCAACACCAAAGGACAATGATGATTAAGTATTTTTATGATTGTCAACAGTTTCTAAGCATATGACAGCGAGTCTCAAATAATCGCTGGGTAAATACATAGAACTATGTGTGTGACCATTTCTAGTCCATCTAGAATATTATAAAAATTTTAAGCAGCAACTAATTTTTAATTGATGAAAATGACAACTCAGGTTGGTAGAAAAAAAATCACAAATCTTGTGGTACTTGGTACTCTAAAACTCTATTTGTGTTTTCATATAAATTCAAGGGCCCCTCCAAGTTATTCCAGCCAGTGTTTCCCAAGGCCTCGCTGGGTGCGCCGTGTTACTCCTTGTGTCTTATTTGTGAATTTGCATTTATCTCTTCAGGCCTCTAGGACTGGGAAACCAGGGTAGAGAATTTAAATTGATTAATTAACCAACACATGTGCAGTGCCTTTTAGTTTATATAGTATTATAATATCTCAATCCTACCACAACCTTAAGAGATAATTATTATACCCATTTTCTGGGTGAGAAAATCAAAATTTGCAAAGTCAAAGTAACATATCCAAGGGGACATAGCTAACAGGGGGTCGCTAGCTCCATAGTCTCTTACCATGAGATTGATCCCTCATAGACCAGCCTCTGGACCCTGGGCTAACGCATAGAACAGTACCCAGCACAGAGTGAGCACTAGTAAGCACCTGACACCGACCCATTTAATCCTCACAGTAGTGAGTTCCCTGTTTCCAACGAATAATCCATCTCTGACACCTTACCTCCTACACTCTATCTTTGCGACCCTTAGTTGGCCAGCATAGAACTTAATCCCTTCCCCTAGGTGTCCTGAAATACCCTGCACCCGCTGATGGCAGGTTGGGAACACTTCATGGAGATGACGGCAGGGCTTGGGGGAGTGCTTCAACACAGCAGACACCCTAAAATTCGGCTCTAGATATTCTTTGTCCTTAGTCCAGGAGATGGCCCATCTCTCCTCAGTCCCAGCCTTTTCTCATCCTGAGGCCCTTCTCTCTCCCCCGTATTCTCGCACCTTCCCCGCATCTGCTGGTTCCTGGGTCCCTTTCAGGTAGATTTTATTTACTTAATTATGAAGAGCGACCTGTTTTTTTGACCGTTGAGCAGCCCCTTCAGCCATGTGCTACCCTCAGAATGGCTCATCGGAGGTTTGGCTACAGCGGGCACCTCTGTCTCAAACAAGTTCTGCCGTTGGCTTTAAGTCAACATGTTTTCCTCCCCATTAGCGGACAGTAATGGGTTAAAGGGACAGTGAAACCTTTGCAGATCAGGAGTTACCGGGTTGGGTGGCCCCGCTGGGCTAGTCCCTCTATCCAGGTGACCCTGTGAGTCCTGGAGTAACGGCTCAGAGATCAGGAAGCTCGTCCGTGTGGACTGTCAGCGCCGGTCGTTACTCATCCCTGTGACGAGCAGGAAGGGCCTCGCGTGACACAGTGAGCAGCCTTACTCTCCGGAAGGGCAGTGATTTCTGTGTGGTGCTTTCGCAGGTTTCTTTGGACCCACTCTGAACAGTTTCATCCACATTCTGATGTACTCCTACTATGGACTGTCTGTGTTTCCATCGATGCACAAGTACCTTTGGTGGAAGAAATACCTCACGCAGGCCCAGCTGGTACGTCCGCCTCCTTTCCGCTCTCCTCCCTGGGGCTCCTAAGGACTCGCATGGGCGGGGCCAGGCCGCAGCAGTCCCGGCCCTCTCAGAGGCCAGAGGCTTCCGTGGGCGACGAAGCTGCCTGTCTTTCTCTAAAAATGGCCTTTTAAGAATGAAGCTTTGCATGCTAAGACACACTCTGTAATTAGCTTATTCCTTGCTTTGAAATGTAGACGAATACTTCTAAAATTAATGTCGATATTAAATCGTTTCAACTGCCACTTTTCATGAGAAAATTAATGAGCAATTAAGTGAGCAGTTCTAACTACTTACTAATATAACTTCAAATGAGATTTCTGGGTAGGATAGTGGGCTGTTTTTGCATTTTCTTGTTGTATTCCTGCCAAATTTAGGGAGGAAGAGTAGTTGATTGCCACCGGCCCGGACCCCCGGTGGCTGGCGTGGGCTCAGCCCGCCCCTCACCTCTGCCCCGTTTGCCACCCCAGGTGCAGTTCGTGCTCACCATCACCCACACCATGAGCGCTGTGGTGAAGCCGTGCGGCTTCCCCTTCGGGTGCCTCATCTTCCAGTCCTCCTACATGCTCACATTAGTCATCCTCTTCCTAAATTTCTATTTCCAGGTAAGTCAACTGTAAGCGGCCAGTGGTAAAACTGAAGAGACTATGCACTGTTGCGTTACATATTTGTTTAATTTTACTGAGCAAATATTATAGTAGCACATGCTTGTTGGTAAATTCAAATAACAGAGATGCACAAAGTAAAACTGAAACCCACGTTCCTGGCTCCTTCTCGGAGGATAACCGCTGTCAGCCGAGTGGGCATCCTAGCAGACATTTTTCAGTGTATACGTATAAAGTTTATCAAAAATATTATGCAGTTGCCCAGCCAGTGTGGCTCAGGAGACCGAGGATCTAGGATCCAGGAGATCGAGGTTCAATTCCCGGTCAGGGCACATGCCCGGGCTGCGGGCTCGATCCCCAGTTGGGGACGAGTAGGAGGCAGCCGATCAGTGACTCTCACCATTGGTGTTTCTCTCTCCCTCTCCCTTCCTCTCTCTGAAATCAATGAAGACATATTTAAAATATATATATATATTATGCATTTGTAGCCTACATTTGTACTGTGCTAACAAAGTCTGAAGTCTGAAAGTTACACGGTGTGTACAGTAAAACAGATCCAGAAAATTTATGTGAATTAAGAAAATCATGGGCTAAATGATTTAATATTAAAAAATTGTTTTTATATCAGCTACTGTGATGTTATAGACTCACTGTTTCTTTGGAAAAACATTATTTTAAGGCAAACCAGTGTGCAAAGGTCACATCGACTTTTTGATGTCATTTTTTTTTTAATCCTCACTTGAGGATATATTGGGGGTCTTAATTGATTTTTTTTAGAGAGAGAGAGAGAAACATTGATGTGAGAGAGAATCATCGATTGGTTGCCTCCCTTACCCACCCTGACCAGGATGAACCTGAAACCTGGGCGTGTCCCTGACCAGGAGTTGAACTGGTGACCTTCTGGTGGTGCGTGGGCAACGCTCCAACTAACTCAGCCACCCGGCCAGGGTGAGTGTTGTGTTTTTTTTTAATTAACAATTTAAAGGGAGGAGAGCTTCAACGTGCAGTTTCAAAGCAACTCTGATACAATAACTGGTGAAGCAGTAACTGCACAGGCCTCAGGCGGCTGTAGGTTTAAATTGCTCTCCTTTGTGGGCTGGAGAAACAGAAAACTTTATGAAGGAAATAAGAACATTTATATTCAAAAGAGTACTTTTAAAGTGTTTTTCAACTGTATTTTCTTCTTTAGACAAGTGCTTTCTGACTTTTTAGTTCGGATTTGCTGAAAGTCAACCCGTACATAGTGTTTTATACAAAGTACAACTGTGGGAACTGAACTTTGGGCAGCTTTTCAGCTCTTGTGTTTCTGAAAGTGGACTGGGTAGGCTTTGTCTGTTATGAGAGATAAGAGTTTCCTTTGAGAATTTCTAAAGAAATAACCATTGATAGAACCCAACAAAGCGTGGGGGGTGGGGGGATAATGTTGAGGACAGTTAAGGAAGTCATTTTGGTGTTGAAACTTGAAAAGTAGAGCATCGTCCAGCAGGGGTCGCCAGTGGCTCTCAGAGCTTTAACTCTCCTGGTTGGTGAGAATGAATCTTAGTCTTTTGAAGTTGAGTATATCGTTTTAGTCTTAACCCTTAATACCATTGCTCTAAAAAGTAAAAAAGTTGCCCTAGCCAGTTTGGCTCAGTGGTTAGAGCATCAGCCCTTGGACTGAAGGGTCTTGGGTTCGACTTCGGCCAAAGGCACACACCTCAGTTGCAGGTTCAATCCCCAGCCAGGATGTGTGTAGGAAGCAACTAACTGATGTGTCTCTCTCACATCGTTGTTTCTCTGTCCCTCTCCCTTTCTCTCCCTCTCTCTCTAAAGCAATGGAAAAATATCCTCGGGTGAGAATTAAAAAAAAAAAATTAAAAGTAAATAAATAAGTTTAAAATGAGGTGAGATCAGGTATTTTGTCAGAATAGCAAAGACATGCCAAAACCCAAATCAAGCTGAAGTCCCAGGTACTAATACTTTTAAAAAAACAGTACTTTTTCACTTTACTTATATATATTTTTAATTATGTCCTTAAGTCATGGGGATGTAATGTACAGCATGGTGACTGTAGTTAATAACACTGTGTTGAGTATTTGCAAGTTGCTAAGAGAGTAGGTCTTAAAAGTTCTCATCACACACCCTGGCCGATGTGGCTCAGTGGTTAGAGCTTGGCCCGCCCCCCCAAAGGATCTCGGGTTTGATTCCCAGCCAGGGGCACGTGCCTCAGTTGCAGGTTTGATCCCCGCCCCATTGGGGCACATGTGGGAGGCAACCAGCCGATGTCTCTCTCTCACATCTGTGTTTCTCTTTCTTTCTCTCTCTCCTCCCTCCATCCATCCCTTCCACTCTCTCTAAAAAGCAATGGAAAAAATATCCTTAGGTGAGAATTAAATAAAAAGTTCTAATCACAAGAAAAAAGTCTTGTGTGGTGATGGATGTGAATTAGACTTATTGAGGTGATAATTTCACAATATATACAAATATTGAATCATGTTGTACACCTGAAACTAAGACAATGTATGTCAATTATACCTCAATTAAAATACATATATATACATATATATATATGTATATATATGCTTTCCAAGTAAGCAACTAATGCAGAATAAGTTGAATGCTAATCCCATAATACATAAATGCTATGCTCATAAGGTGAAGGAAACAACCTTTCATTAGAATTCATACATATGTCCTGTTTTCCCCCTATTTTTATTTTTAACCAGAAGCCTAAAGATTGTCATATTAAGAACAGGAATTCTTCTTAGAAAGTCCAGTACCCAAGGATTTCGTGCACTGTTTTAGACTCTGCCACTTTAGGGACAAAGCCTTATTAAAGAACCCTTTTTCCCCCCCTTTTTCTCCTCAAAATGTCCGCATCCAACAGACATATCGAAAAAAGCCAATGAAGAAAGAGCCGGAGGAGGCGGCGGCGGGGAAGGAGGTGAAGAACGGCTTCTCCAAGGCCTACTGCGCCGCGGCCAACGGAGTGGCGGACAAGAAGGCGCAGTAGCCGCGGCAGGGCGGCCCGACGGCACCGCCCGGCTCCGAGGGCAAGGACTGCATTGAAAGTTACACGTGCTTTAGCATAAACTAATTTCTTTTGCGTTTATAAATCATTTGTACCCAGAATGTATTAATACCTTGCTATTAGGTTACTCTGTTAACTGAGTGCTTCTGTCAGCATCGAGGTGCAGCCGAGCTCTGTAGCCCCCAGAACTGGTGCAATTCTCTCTCCTCCCGCAGACGTGCCCTCGCCAGAAACTCTTCACGATGCCTTACACACACACACACACACACACACACACACACACACACAGCACCGTTTGTCACAGCAAGTCTTCAAATAAAACGTTAACAGTTGTTCACGTGAAAATGTTTAAAGGAAAATGTTAATGATCTCCTAAATACAGGGCATGTTCTAACTTATCTTAAGCAATAATTGTCAGTGCATAAAGTCAGTAGTCCCTCTGGTCCTTTAGGGGTCAGCCCCAGAAGCTATTAAAATGGGGTTATAGGTGGAAAGTCTAGCAGAACTTCTCCCTCTCAAGCGGTGCCTGTCACATCCCACAGCCACTCCTAACTTCAGCATGGTGATACGGTAAGGAAACTTGTGTTGTTTTTATTTGGAGGATTAGTTTTCCTAAGAAGGAGGAACATCCTCTGACAGACCCGCGTAGCTCAGGGGCTGAGTAGCTGGGCCTCCGTTTTCATCCGGTTTCCGTAATTGTTCACGTCTGCCCCGCACGTCAGGCGGCCCTCGGCTGGGATGCAGACAGGCGCAGCGCTCAGGATCGAACGCGGGTCTACACCCGGCCGCCCGGTTCTTTCTGAGCCAGGGCTCGCGTCCAGTCAGCCCCCCTCCCGAGAGCGGGCCCTGGAGCATTCCGAAGCCAGAGTTCACAGAGCGGAGCGGGGAAGGACACTGGGTTCGCCAGCTGTTTCTTGTGAACCTGTTTGTGAATATTACTCCCCAATACCTGCTGTCGCTCTTTGCAGGTTACGTTTTTGAAAGTAGGAGCTGAAATTCCAAGGCCTCTAGAAAGATTTCGGCGCTGAGCCGTGGGCTGGCAGTGCCCACCCGGCCCCCTCAGCCCACCCTTCCCCGCTCCGTGAGGCAGCGGCAGTAAGAGCCACGCACAAAAGCACAGGAAGCCGTCAGTGACAGCCCCCCCCAGTGTCAGCTGTCACTCACTGTCACACTGTGCCAAGCATGGAAACAGGATATTTTCTGAAGATTTTATGATGATTCATACCCTGTAAAAGTGTTTTTATCCCCTATACCTTCTTTTGGAAACACGTTTTAGGTCATCACATTGACATCAGATGCTTCAGTGCCAGAAAGGAATGTCACCTGGCACAGTGCATTGCAGTCTGCCTGGGAGCCCTCCTGTCCTTTTAGGCCTTTTTTCCCCCTGAGCTCTAATTTTTAAATTATTTTTCCTGTTTAAAAACACTGACTTTTGTACTGAACATTGTGCACTGACACGGTGCCGGCTTTTCTGTCTTCTCTTTCCTGTAAACTACCCACTCAGGATTCCGGGCCCCTCTGGAAGTGACTGACCTTAGACCCGTCTTCCTGGAGGAAGCTCTGGGCCCTGTTCCATTCTCTTCTCTACTCGATCATTCCTACCCAACAGACATCTCTAGCCGATGCCCGCTTACCCTTGGATTTATTTTTCTAAGAGTTTTCTAATACCGACTTGCTCGAGGGTGCCACTCCGTCCCGTTATAACTGTATTGTTGCAAGAAACTCGTTGTAAAACAAGGGCTAGCTTCGAGCATGACTGTCACTGCTCCTCCCTGACAAGCACAAGCCGGGCTAAGGAGAGAGCCCTTGGAGCAACTGGACTCTAGTTCAGGTTTAGGTCTCAAACATGAGCTAAAATCTGTTCTCAGAGTACATTCCAGGTAAAAACGAGATTATGCAAGAAGGCAGAATCGGTGGTCATTCACTGTACTCAGCTTCCTCTGTTGGACCTGCAGCTCTGGGCACGCCCGCGGCTTCCTACCTGCCGAGCAAGGAGGGCAGCCTTTGTTCGACCAGCCGAGGAGCTCCGGGGGCCGGGCAGGAGAAACCTCGCAGACCCAAGGGGAGAACTCGGGTAGTTTACACTTTCAGTTTAGTTAGAGGTTTCAGGATGCTTGTTTCCAATCGGTCTTTAGTTCTAGAAAAGCTTAATAAAACACTCGTAGCCTTAAACTGTTCAAGGGTCGGTTAAATTACACAGAGCTATGAAATCTTAGCTGCAAAAATTGAATCAGGTAAATATTTCAACCTGTCATTGAGCGTTACAACTTTTAAAAACACAATGTTTACTTTTAATGTGATTTTCCTAAAAACAAAACTATTTTTAAAAACCTGTATAATCTGTTAAAAAGTGGAAAATTATTTTTCCCCAGTAAATGTCCTCTCTTACTCATAGTTATGAAAATGCTTAAATAGATACCATGAGCATATCTGTTAATAATCCCCCCATTTTTTAAACTAGCAGAATAAGACATTTACTTAATGGAATTAAACATAGACATTTTCTACCCTTCAAAATTATATATTGAATTATTTAGGCATATTGGGGGATAAAGGCCTCCCCACTCCCATGAGAAAGGTATTTCTTATTTTTATTTTAAGGCAAAATGGCATATATTGTGACAGCACTGCGTGTGTAAGGGACCGTCTGGTTCTTTCTAGTATTTCCGTATCATTTTACGATGTTTCTGAGGGCTTCCTTATTTGGAAAACAAGAATATCGCTTTTTTGGTTTTCTTTTAAAAGTGCTTAATATCGTAAGAACATACTATCATGATTGGGGTGGCCAGGGAGGCAGGAGAAGCCATTTTTCTTTGTAGATAGATAAAAAGCATTCTGTATGATTGTTGTATAATAAATTGATTTTTACACTAAAGTAAAGCATATTGTGATTTTTCTTACCTGGTTCAAATAAATTAAAATGTGTGTCTGCATGGGATTCCAAATGACTATTACTCAGGATTTTTTTTAAAACAATAAAGTGATATTTTAGCAATTAATTTTAGGCGTTTAATTTTTCCTTCATTTCAATAAGCAATGAGTATTTTTTAACCTCTACATAGTGTTCATATGCCAAGTTAAACTATTTCAGAAAATGGTCATTCACAAGAAAAATATAAGACCAGTTAGATAGCAGAGGGTGTGAAGAAAGGTGTAACTGCCACTCAGAATGACCTGGAAGGTGCCCTGGACGGGTGGACGGGCCATGTGAGGCGCAGACAGCACCGTGTGACGCTGAGGCCCAGGGCTCCCTTTGCAGGGCGCCCAGACCCAGACGGGCAGAGGGGAGGCGGCCGCCGCGCAGGAGGGCTGTGCGGGCTGAGCCTGGGCCACGCCGAGGCCTGGGGGAGACCCTGGGGCAGGAGGGGTGTGCGGGCTGAGCCTGGGCCACGGCGAGGCCTGGGGGAGACCCTGGGGCAGGAGGGCTGTGCGGGCTGAGCCTGGGCCACGGCGAGGCCTGGGGGAGACTGGGGCAGGAGGGGTGTGCGGGCTGAGCCTGGGCCACGGCGAGGCCTAGGGGAGACTGGGGGGCAGGAGGGGGTGTGCGGGCTGAGCCTGGGCCACGGCGAGGCCTGGGGGAGACCCTGGGGCAGGAGGGCTGTGCGGGCTGAGCCTGGGCCACGGCGAGGCCTGGGGGAGACTGGGGCAGGAGGGGTGTGCGGGCTGAGCCTGGGCCACGGCGAGGCCTAGGGGAGACTGGGGGGCAGGAGGGGTGTGCGGGCTGAGCCTGGGCCACGGCGAGGCCTGGGGGAGACCCTGGGGCAGGAGGGCTGTGCGGGCTGAGCCTGGGCCACGGCGAGGCCTGGGGGAGACTGGGGCAGGAGGGGTGTGCGGGCTGAGCCTGGGCCACGGCGAGGCCTAGGGGAGACTGGGGGGCAGGAGGGGTGTGCGGGCTGAGCCTGGGCCACGGCGAGGCCTGGGGGAGACCCTGGGGCAGGAGGGCTGTGCGGGCTGAGCCTGGGCCACGGCGAGGCCTGGGGGAGACTGGGGCAGGAGGGGTGTGCGGGCTGAGCCTGGGCCACGGCGAGGCCTAGGGGAGACTGGGGGGCAGGAGGGGGTGTGCGGGCTGAGCCTGGGCCACGGCGAGGCCTAGGGGAGACTGGGGGGCAGGAGGGGTGTGCGGGCTGAGCCTGGGCCACGGCGAGGCCTGGGGGGAGGGCAGGAGGGGAGAGGGAATGGGAGGAAGGAAAGGGAATGGTGGTGGCGCTGAAGAGGGGAAACTTCACGTTAACTCTGAGTGGGGGCTAGAGTTTGAGGGGGAAGAGTGGACATTTTCAAAAGCCTTCTCTTAACCTACAGGGCTTACATTATTTTATTTTACATATTTGTTTTAATTTATTGATTTTAGAGAGAAGGGAGAGAGAGAAACATTGATTTTTGTTGTTCCACTTGCTCACGCACTCATTGGCTGCTGCTTGTATTTGCCCTGACCAGGGATCAAACCCGCAACCTGGGCCTATCGGGACGCTCCAACCAACTGAACCACCCGGCCAGGGCAGGGCTTTCATTATTTTAAACAGTGGGTGGAACAAAGTCATTAAAACTTTGTGCTTAAAAATAAAAGATAAATTCTATGTCTCTATGGCAAGGCCTAATAACTGTTGCTGTAAATTAAAAGGTGCTTATACATGATAAATGTTCACCTAGATAAGTTCCGTAGTTTGTTTATATAAAGAAAAATTCAGTATGTGTTTTTATTACAGCAAGCTTTCTTCAAAATCAAATTAAATTACATTTGTGTATTTAAGGAAGATTTCCCCAATCCAGGGCACACGAAGAAATAATCACTCTTCCAAGACTAAGATACCCTTGACCTTCAGTGAACATGACTCAGTCAAGGAGGGGGGGAAGCTATTGATTTGTAGGTCATTTTTCTGTCTTAGGAAGCTGCACTGAGGGAACATCGGAACGACACCAGAAGGACAAGTAAATCTGAAACCCGGGCCCTCGCTGAGCAGTTTGTAAATGCAGTCATCACGGCTCTAGGAGCAGCCCACTGGAAACCCGTCATGACCGTGTCTGAGGCCAAGTCCCGCTTGGCCTTCAGGCAAAGCCCAGCCACGCTGGGTGCCCTCCAGGCTCTTGGCACCCGCCTTTGCCTTTGCGTACCACAGCCTGTCATCTTGAGATGGTGCCTGTGCTCTTGGATTCGCCACAGTAACCACTAAGCCTTTTGCCTTCAGCCTATTGACCTAGCTGACTCCTCAAGGCATTCGATCTGTGACTCCTGAGCACTGAATACCTGC